CATAGTTTTATGCTTTAAAACATCCACAACTATTGAAAAATCGTTTTTTCACACAAAGAAAGTTCAAGACACACACTCTCATAGAGAACAACAAAACAAGCCTAACAACAAGAAGATGGTAGTGCCAACCTAAGATCTTGGGAACGTGCTAGCGTTAAAGTAAAACCAACTTTGGATGTATTTTAGGGATTTTTAAGGGAATGGTTTGTTTCTTAAAGCTTAAAATTTGATGAACGACTCACACAAAAGAACAACTTTATAGTTAACTTTCTGACTCATAAGATGTTATTTTCTTATGTTGGCACTCCTTTGTTTTTGTTTAGCTTATTTATTTTGTTGTTGATTTGTGTGATAGTGTCAGAGATTTGAAAGATTATTCCTTTAGAAAACGTTCTTGCAATGGTTTGGAATGATTCAGACCCTGAAATTATGAAATAACCTCAATCAAAGAAATGCTGTAGTGCGTCGTGTGCGTTGACTTGTTCAAATACAGCAGCACAGACAATTCTTCAGTCAAGCAGCCGGCGGGTTTAACCTTACCAGCATGCAGCATAGCCTGGCTCATGGAAACTAGTATCACCAAGAAGTTTGAGGCTAAAAATAATTTAAAGTGATGAATAACAGTAGTTTGATACTGCATTTGGAACAATATCCAGTGTCAATCAACATTTTATACAGCCAAAATTATTATTCCGTGGCTTGCTATTTCAAACACAGGATATTTACTCATCGCAGCGTTACAAACATTTACATCAAAGGTATGTGTTAGTTAGTCAATGATAAGCATCAGAAGTAAATGAGAAGGCACAGTACATGCCATCCTTTTCTGGTTGTCCAGTAAGAGACGGAAAGTTGGTAGCAGCCGCTAGCTGTTTGGCTGTTATGAAATGTAGGACTCCGCATCTGTTCATGCGGTCAAAATGGAAACCGCATCAGGAAATGCGGTTAAATTTTACACCGCATGACTCCTGCGGTGAAATTGCATCAAAATCCTGGCTATTCAGGTGACCGCATCACTTCATGCGGTCACTTACCTAAACCGCATTTCAAATGCGGAATTCTCCGCATTTGTTTTTTCAGTGCAGAGATCCCAAACGCTATGAATGTAGCACGTATAGTGCAATGTAGTGAGATAACGCACCATAAGCACGTGCAATGCGTCCCGAAAATTCCGTAAGCTAATGCATGGGAATGGGATAGCATTGCACATGATATGCCATGCGAAAGCATTGCACCAATTGACGCTACATTCACGGCGTTTCGATTCTCAGTGTAGCTTCCAGCGTGAAGCGCACCCGCGTCAGCCGTTTAACTTTGAATATCGTACCGTCCTTGCGGGTCCCGACCGGCAAATAACCGTAGATTGCAGCACCCCACAAAAGTTGTTGAAGAACCATGTCAGAGTTGAGACAGCGTCACGTAAAGAGAGGGTTCCTCGTGCCCGGAACCTGAAAGAGAGTAACTTCGCCCTAAGGTGAACCGAAATGTAGCGTTCAGGCTCCAGTAGGGTACTTCGGGGAAAATCTAGACCGGAACTCTGCAAACTCAACAGTGTACTCAATACACTCTAGTTAGAGTGTGCTCATGAGTACACTCTAACCAGCGTGTACTCGGATGAGTACACTTTAACTAGCGTGTACTCGGATGAGTACACTCTAACTAGCGTGTACTCAGATGAGTACACTCTAACTAGCGTGTACTCAGATGAGTACACACCTAAGCACGCCTGGCAATTTATGCAGCTGAAAGTGTGTACTCATCTGAGTACACGCTAGTTAAAGTGTACTCGTCCGAGTACACGCTAGTTAGAGTGTACTCATGAGCACACTCTAACTAGAGTGTACTGAGTACACTGTTGAGTTTTCAGAGAAGTCACCGACAGAACGGGAGAAACAAAACAGCATCGCGCGACTGTGCTGAGCGGTGGTGGGGGTCAAATTCGGTGGAGTGGGGGGAAACGGCGGCCCGCGCATGCTGCCCACACTCTGCGCATCCCGGCTCCCACCACCGAACAGCACGGCCTCGCGACGCTCTTTTGTTAAACGAAAGGCCGTTTTTGACCCCCCGCCCCCCTATGAAACGCGGTGTGACGCTGCCTCGGATCCCTCGCCCGGTGCGTTACGTAACGAATTGCTAAAAATTTAAAAACGCGCAGAAAATGTCAAAACGTACTAGGAAACCGAAATTTCACGCATTTAAGTATAGGTGTGTATGGGCCGATTTTCGTCGCTCTTGCATTACATCACGCCGGGTCAAAACCCCCCGCCTTCCCATGGAACGCACCGTTAGGGAAGCTCTGACCCCCTCCCCCCTTAAGTGCGTTACGTAGTTCATGGACGGCCCCCCTGTTCTGTCGCTGACTTCCGGTCTGGATTTCCTCCGAAGTACCCTATCGTGGCACAGTGGGCGGAAAGACCACTTTTGACGGGAAAAAGTCGGGTTCCGCAACCCTTATGTAGATTCCAATAAATGCACTTTCCTAGCTCAAAAAAGTGTGCCGAATCCAAATCTGCCTTTGATTTTATCATGCGCCTTTTCGTTTTTCTCATAGAAGGCTTGAAAGTCACATGTATCTATTCGCTAAGAAGAAACGCAACAAAAAGCGCATAAATTCGCTGCGTTTACTGAGTCAGTTTTAGATCTAATTTTACAACCCGGATGTTTTTAGAAAGAGCAATTCACGAGGATTCCAAAACTGTCCTCGGATTGTAGTTTCGAGTATATTTGACAAAACTACGGCCGTTTGAAATTTGCATGTCACAAAACACAAAATTCCAAAGTTCCCTTGGGCGGCATAAAAAGCCTCAAGTTGCCCCGCGCTCGCTCAAGGTTCATTTGGGGCCGCAAAGAGTGCTCTTTCGGAGGGAAAAAGAATTAGCTGCCCACAGCTGCCCTTCCGAAGTTTATGGCTCGATTTGTGTGAGCGTGCGTACGAAAAAACGGGTCCCGACGCATGTCAATCGCATAGGTCGTCTCAGGGCATGCCCCTCCCGCCTCCGGCCCCCTTCCTTTCCCCTCCCCCTCCCGTTCACTCCCAGTTCCCCCCTCCCCCTGCCCTCCCCCTCCCCTTGTACAATGATTTTTCAGTGTTGTCGACTTAGGACAGCAAATATGGGTGTATTCGAAATCGGGGCGACACAACTAGACCTATGACGCGTTCGGAGTCGATCATTGCTGTAGCTTGGCCTGTAACGTGTCGTTGCCTTGTATTAGAAGTAGAAGAAGTAACGCAATAAAAACTGTTGCCACAATAGGGGGCCTACGCTGTTGATTTAGTAGACTATGCAGTAAATTAATACTATCCGTCCATAGAAAAATCGAAAAATGGCCAGATTTAGAATCAGGATGATGATGATGACCCCCTTAAACCTTGAAAAATTAAGGTCACCCACCTTGAATCACTGAATCTGCCCCTGCAAAGTTCGAAACATGGATAGATTTAGGATCAGTGACCCTTGAAAACTGATATGGGAAGTTTTGACCCGGTATGCTCGAAAAATAAAATTTACCCCCCTTGTATCACTGGATCTGCCCCAGAAAAATTCAAGACATGGCCAGATTTGGAATTAGCGACCACCAAAACCCAGAGTACGGAGTTTTAGCGCGGATTGCTCTAAAATTAGAATCTACCCCCTTATATCTCCGGATCCGCCCCTGAAAAGTTCGAAATATGATCAGATTTAGAATCAGCGACCCCAAAAACATAAAATACGGATGAATGATGTTTTTCGGACAAGTAATTCAGTTGTAATGACTTTTTCCCGTCAAAAGTGGTCTTTCCGCCCACTGTGCGTGGGCTGGAGTTCTTTTATCAGTTTTTAAACAGTAGATGAATGCAGTTTCTACGAAGCAGCCATCCGTTCCTTGAAACATTTTTTTAACCCTCTTTTTACCTTCCACTCACCTCCCTACAGCGGATACTCCACCCCAAAGAACCGGCCAACATTCAGCTGACCTCAAGTGGCGGAAGGGGAAAAGATGGTGGGGTGGGGGGACTCACGTCCTGCCTTTTACAGCGTACTTTGGCGAGGGCAGTAAAATTCCATATTAGGCCATTAGTATAACTGCCCAGTCGGCAGGCAAAAGCATATTCAAACTCGACTCGCGACTGAGGTAAATCGAGCTGGCACAGATAAAGTAAAGGTGAGCTTTCGTATCTACACTTTCCCTCATCAGTTTAGCTTTAAACTTGAGACTCGACATCCACCCACACACACGGAATCACCTTTGTGCGATTCTGCGTACACTGTAAAAAATTTGTTGTGAATTTACGACGGAATATTTTCCGAAGGGTTTTTGGGTATGTCCAAAAGTGCACTGTACATGTTTCTTTCCCACAGGAACTTTTGTAAATCAACGTAGGTTCGTCGTTAATTTACGAAGGTTCTCAGTAAATTTACGAAGAAAAATCGTAAATTTACAAAATCTGTTGTAAATTTACGAAGGGCTTCGTAAATTTACGACGGGCTTCGTTAAGGGGAGGTTCTGGTGAAAATGCTATTTTCTCCTAAATAGGTCCCACTGTGAAAATTAGTTAAAAATTTGATGTCTTCCCAAGTAATTAATAAAAATTTTCATTCGGGACTCACATTCTATGCCCTGAACTCAGTCGCAGAGCCATTTTCTCCTATTTAGGCTGTAACTTTAAAAATCTTCTTGCGCATACTATTTTGTCGGAAAAGGTTGGCCTTGACATTTTTCACTTCTTCGATTCATTTTTAGAAGATGCCGGCATGCACAACTCAAAATGTAAATAACATTTTCATTCGCAAGCTTTCTAACCAATCATTTCACTATAATTGATCAAAAATGTACAAAATAGACAAATTTTAGGGACTTTTCAGCTTAAAAAGCTTACAGTTAATAATATAATGTAAATTTTGAGCTATGCATGCCGGAATTTTTTGAAAATGAATCGAAGAAGTGAAAAATGTCAAGGTCAACCTTTTACGACAAAATAGTATGCGCAAGGAGATATTTTAAGATACAGCCAAAATAGGCTCAAAAAGACTCTTCGACTGGGTTCAGAGCCTGGGATGTGCCTTCAAAAATCAAATTTTAGTCTCCTCAAAGAAAGATTTTATATTCCGAACAAATTATGACACTGGGATCCATTTGGGAAATGGCATGATTTTCACCAGAACCTCCCCTTAATCTACGACGGGTCTTCGTAAATCTACGGCGGACCTTCGTAAATAAACGGAGGAAGTGTTGGCAATTTTTTTGCCGAAGGATCCGTCGTTAATTCCAGACGTATAATTACGAAGAATCTCCGTATATTAACGAAGTTTCTTTGTTTATAAACGAAGGTTCCCTGTAAATTTACGAAGGATCTTTGTAGATTTACGAAGGTGCTTCGTAAATTTCCATTGTGATTGGAAAATCAGCAGAGATCTTTCAAAAAATTTACGAAGGTTTTTGTAAATATACGAAGAGCTTCGTAAATTAACGAAGGAACCGTTGGCAATTTTTTTTGCCGAAGGATCCGTCGTTTATTCCGGATATTAATTTTTACAGTGTAAAAAAAAAAAACAATGAAAATGTTCGCATGTTTTAAAATCAGGACTACAACGTACGAAAATTGCACATGTTGAGAGCGTGCGAGGTTCAAGTGGATTGTAAGTAAAATGTGTGCCTATTAATGCGTGAACAGTGCAATATTTTTCACCAAGCGCCTTAAAACAGGGTTCATACGACCTATTTTTTTCTTTACTTTCGTAACAGGTTTGGTCGGAATAACATCCTACCAGGAATCTATTAAACACAGGGAACTATCTCTTAAATTACGTCAAAAATTTCGATAATTCTTTATTAACACCGAACCAAGTGGTGAGTTAGGAATTGCTGTCTTGGTGGTTTGAGTCACAGCGCAAGCCCTCAGTTGAGAAAATGTGCAGTCACTCGAGACATAGTCGGCCGAGATGTAAGGGACTGCGTCAAATTCCTCAACGCCGCCTCAAAATTCTCCGTCGTCAAGCAAGGATTGGAAGACGATCTGGGCCATGAAAGCTAGAAACGTAGAAACCGCAGAAATCATCTGAAAATTGAGGTGAGAACAACGATTCAAATTTCTAGAGAAGGAGAGAGACGCTTCAAAATATGCAGAGCCCTCTTTGCATTCGCCTTGCACGTTACTTTTAGTGATTACACGTTCAGAACCCCAAAAAGGTGATTCGCCTCGCGCAGCAATCAGCAACTTGTGATTAATGCTCCAAAAGCATGTTCCAAAAACTTTTAACAGGGTTGCTACGCTTTTGGAATTTCGGATTTCCCTGACATTTCCCGGTTTTCCAGAGACATTTTTTTGTCATTTTCCCTGACATTCTGGCCAATTTTTGAAGGGAGTTGTCGCGCGTGGAAAAGATATCCCATCCGGCGTGCGGGCACTTTATTGACTTTTTGGCAAGAAAGTTAAGATTTTGACCTGTCTCCGGCAAATTTCCCTGACATTTCCAGGTTTTCCCGGTTCTCCCTGACATAGTTTCATTTTCCCTGACAATTCCAGGTTTTCCCTGTTTTCCAGGTGCGTGGCAACCCTGTAAATTTTAAACACTCAAGTATTGACAAGTAAGTGACAAAATTTCCAGTATTGACAAATAAGTGGCAAAATTTCCAGGGTGGCAGAGGTTTTGATAACATTTAGTCATCTGTTTCTATCTATCCATCTATTTATCTACGTACCTCTATTTATCTGTTCCTAAATATTTTCTTACCCATGTCACTGTTGCCAGGCTTATGTCCAGCAGTCCAAGTACATGTGGCCTCATGCAATTGTTACTTATTTCTGTCAAAAACATTCGGATCTATGCAGAAAGAGAAGACAAAAATACGATTTCAAGAAATCCTAGGAGTCACGAAGTCAATTTGATTATTGTGTAAGAGTGTGGAGAAAGAAAAGAAGTGGTGTTGTGAAGTTGTGGCTCAGGGGACTACCAATGGCAGTGGTACCAATGTGGTCGATGTGCCATCCGTCGAAATTTAAACTTGACAATAAATAGAAATCAAAATGCTGGAAAATTCAAAAAATTCCAATGCTAATGTATTCCGCAGTGTTCTGACAATGGAACATCTTTGAAGTCCATCATGATTAAAATGTTCTTAGCAGAAAGAAGTCAGTAAATTAATTTTCTCGGGTTGGCAACTATTTTCTCGGCGTCTGCGCCCTTGCGAAAATCGCGAAGCTGAAAGCGCCAGCAGTCGCGCATTAAAACTGCCCCTCCATTGTTGTGGACGTTGAATTGTTTGGCTTGTTTCAAAAGGCTATGGTTCTCTAGTCATGTTTTCTTCAATTCTGTGTAATAGTTCTCCCTTACAACGTATCAACACCACGACGGTTGGTTTGACAAACTTCATAAACTCGGGAGGGATGGTTTCGAAACGCGGGTGAGTCTTGTTCGAGGAACATGAGCACTGCAAGTCGCGAGGTGGAGCGAAGTGGTCCTAGTGCTAACTGAATCACAACAACAACACTGCGCATGTCCAAAAACACTCCAATCAAGAAGTATTATTGGATAGTTCTACCCGAAAAACTGCGTTCGAACCGGCACCAATTCTATTGTTGCATCTTGTCTACCTGCAGTCAAAGAAATTTTTCATTTCGAACGTTGCTTTTTCAGCTTTTGGAGTAAGCTGTACAGACCCAAAAAGAAGCTCCGCTATTGGTCCGCCCCGGCTCGGCTCCCCCCACTCCCTTTTTTTTCCTTTGACGAGTCGAGTTTTGCCATGGAAACGGCGATTTTGACAGCAAATTTCTCAAAATTGGCCACCAAATTTTTGACCAGATTTCAACATCAGAATCAGCGTTCAAAGTTCTACTAGTCTGCAAAATCTCATTAAAATCGTATAGAAAACTTCCGAAATGCATAAAGGGCCACACAAATCAAATCTCGAGCCGGCTGAGTCCTGGGTATACTATAAGGCTACTTCGTGCCTAAAAATGACTCTGGGAATTTATAGTAGCGCATTGACAGAGAATTCTAGACCGAAAAAGAAATATAGAAGGACCACGTATAATAAACACATTGTTTTCAACAAATCAAGTGGATTGTAAGTAAAATGTGTGCCTATTAATGCGTGAACAGTGCAATATTTTTCACCAAGCGCCTTAAAACAGGGTTCATACGACCTATTTTTTTCTTTACTTTCGTAACAGGTTTGGTCGGAATAACATCCTACCAGGAATCTATTAAACACAGGGAACTATCTCGGTACCTCCTATCTACAAACGCTCATAATGCTGACTCCTGGACAGACCCGCTCATCTGAGGAGCCGTGAATTGAAACCGCTCAGCTACAGCACTCCGTGACAAAACCGCTCACCTCGGCGCGGGCTAGACAGACCAGCATATCGCCGCGCGGCCGGGCGCTGGTTAGGTTATGTTGCCCCTCGTATTTACGTTATTTTTAGCCGATCCGGGGCGCGCTTAGTGCAAACCTTGGGTGAAAATCAAAGTTCTAGTGCAGACGATAGCATGCGATTCAACTTGTCGATCTAAATAAAGACTAAGCGCGTAAGAAGTACAATGTAAATCTGGCAGCCGCCGCCCGTATTTGAGAAGGTAAGCGGTTTCGTTCAGCGCGCTCCGAGGTGAGCGGTTGTGTAACGGAGTGCCAAAGCTGAGCGGTTTCATTTCAGGCTCCCTCAGGTGAGCGGATTCATCCCGGACTCGACATGCTGAGCGTTTGTAGATAGGAGGTACCGATCTCTTAAATTACGTCAAAAATTTCGATAATTCTTTATTAACACCGAACCAAGTGGTGAGTTAGGAATTGCTGTCTTGGTGGTTTGAGTCACAGCGCAAGCCCTCAGTTGAGAAAATGTGCAGTCACTCGAGACATAGTCGGCCGAGATGTAAGGGACTGCGTCAAATTCCTCAACGCCGCCTCAAAATTCTCCGTCGTCAAGCAAGGATTGGAAGACGATCTGGGCCATGAAAGCTAGAAACGTAGAAACCGCAGAAATCATCTGAAAATTGAGGTGAGAACAACGATTCAAATTTCTAGAGAAGGAGAGAGACGCTTCAAAATATGCAGAGCCCTCTTTGCATTCGCCTTGCACGTTACTTTTAGTGATTACACGTTCAGAACCCCAAAAAGGTGATTCGCCTCGCGCAGCAATCAGCAACTTGTGATTAATGCTCCAAAAGCATGTTCCAAAAACTTTTAACAGGGTTGCTACGCTTTTGGAATTTCGGATTTCCCTGACATTTCCCGGTTTTCCAGAGACATTTTTTTGTCATTTTCCCTGACATTCTGGCCAATTTTTGAAGGGAGTTGTCGCGCGTGGAAAAGATATCCCATCCGGCGTGCGGGCACTTTATTGACTTTTTGGCAAGAAAGTTAAGATTTTGACCTGTCTCCGGCAAATTTCCCTGACATTTCCAGGTTTTCCCGGTTCTCCCTGACATAGTTTCATTTTCCCTGACAATTCCAGGTTTTCCCTGTTTTCCAGGCGTGGCAACCCTGTTTTAAACACTCAAGTATTGACAAGTAAGTGACAAAATTTCCAGTATTGACAAATAAGTGGCAAAATTTCCAGGGTGGCAGAGGTTTTGATAACATTTAGTCATCTGTTTCTATCTATCCATCTATTTATCTACGTACCTCTATTTATCTGTTCCTAAATATTTTCTTACCCATGTCACTGTTGCCAGGCTTATGTCCAGCAGTCCAAGTACATGTGGCCTCATGCAATTGTTACTTATTTCTGTCAAAAACATTCGGATCTATGCAGAAAGAGAAGACAAAAATGACTCTGGGAATTTATAGTAGCGCATTGACAGAGAATTCTAGACCGAAAAAGAAATATAGAAGGACCACGTATAATAAACACATTGTTTTCAACAAATCAAAAGATCGGCTTGAAGACGTAGCTTGGAATGAACGCTTTGAACGGCACCGAAGCGAATAGAGTCGCAACGCATTTCGTACATTTTTCGACAGACACCTGCAGGACTGCCATAAAAAATTTGGGACAAAAGCAGGGCCCAGCAGGTGTCGATATTGCTCACACAGATTTGGTTGTGTTCAAGACTCTGTCACTCGCAACAAATGCGTAGGGTCAGGGCGGGGAAGAACTGGACAGGGGAAGAACTGGACACCCCACTTCAAATACCGTAGGCACAGGAAACAACAATCAAAAGTTGTTCCGTAGCA